TGCCATTAGCCTTCTTGGCTACAAGGGCACACTGTTGACTCATATCTAGCTTCTCATCCACTGTAACCCCCAGGTCCTTTTCTGCAGAACTACTACTTAGCTGGTTGGTCCCCAGCTTGTAACTATGCTTGGGATTCTTCCGTCCCAAGGGCAGGACTCTGCACTTGTCCTTGTTGAACCTCAGCAGATTTCTTGTTGCCCAATCCTCCAATTTGTCTAAGTCACTCTGGTCCCTGCCCCTGCCCTTAAGTGCATCCACCTCTCCCCCCAGCTTAGTGTCATCTGCAAACTTGCCGAGGGCACAATCCATCCCCTCGGCCAGGTCATTCATAAAGATATTGAACAAAATTGGTCCTAGAACCGATCCTTGGGGCACTCCGCTAGAAACCGACCGCCATCCTGACATCGAGCCATTGATCACTACCCGCTGGGCCCGGCCTTCTAGCCTCTTTCTATCCATCTTACCGTCCATTTATCCAATCCACATTCCCATAACTTGCTGGCAAGAATATTGTGGGAGACCGTATCAAAAGCCTTGCTAAAGTCAAGGTCTATCACATCCACTGACTTTCCCACGTCCACAGAGCCAGTTACCTCCTCAGAGAAGCTAATCAGATTGGTCAGGCACGACTTGCCCTTTGTGAATCCATGCTGGCTATTCCTGATCACTTTCCTCTCGTCCAAGTGCCTCAAAATGGGGCTCCAAACACTGGGCTGGAGACAGACCTTAGGAGCTGTGGGCGAGGGAACCTGGGAGCGAGCACTGGAGGCCTGACGCTCTCTCCAGGCCTGGCCAAAGACTCTGCAGGGCCCAAGGTGGCAGGTTGTGGGCGGCTGCACCGCGTGGCCAGGCATCTCCCAGCCAGGGCAGCGAGCAAGCCGCCGGGCAGTGCAGGGCCCTTAAGGACAGGGCCTGAGACAGCCGCCTTGCTCACCTGGCCCTACGGCCAGGCTGTCACGTTACTGGATTTTAGGGAAGCAGCCGGGTCACTGCTGCGCCCGTGGGGGGTGTTTGCCCCAAAAGTGGTACAAAGGGGGTCATGTGAAGGGTCAAACGAAAGCTTACGTTCTTTTGATTCTATATTTGATCTTCACATACCTGTATGATGTCTGGGTGTGACGTTATGAATATGTAACTCTGTCAATATTGGAAACTTCTCTGTTTGTGGCTGAGCAATAGTCAAAGAATGCTCAGCCTATGGACATGCTAATGAGCAAGTCTCCATGGAACAATAGCCCTCTCTAGGCCAAGGACACACTTCAAGAATGTGACTGATACCTAAGGGCTGCCAGCAGGGGACACAGGGATAGGCCACGGGCCAGGTGACCTGCTGCAGCCAAGAAGAGGGAAGGAGGGATAAAGATGCCATGCGGCAACCTCCATTTCGGAACTCAGATCTGCTCCTGACCCCACATGCGGCCTCGCAGGGAATCACAAGCTGGGAAAAACTATGGACCCATCCTGATGTAGGATGTGCACCAAGGACGCTTAAGCCAGCAGCTGTAACATCTCTGCTAGAGCCTGCATCGAGAACTGGGAGATTCGATGCATGTAACATACTATCCTTTATCAACCTCACTCTCATGCTTTTCTTTCTTGTAGCAATAAACCTTTAGAGTTTAGACGCTAAAGGATTGGCTCAGTGTGGTTTGTGGGTAAGGTCCAGAGGGTAAATTGACCAGGGATCTGTGGCTGGTTTCTTGGAAC